ATAATTCCCAAAAAAACCAAAGGGATAGGGTTTCACAGCTTTCCAAAAGACTAACTTCTTTTGAGGCAATGGGTGCATTTCTGCCGGAAAAGCGTAAACCCAAAAGTGGCAAGAATCTGTAGCGAGCATTTTCTACCCGAGGATTTTGAAAGGAGCCTCCAAGCTGAAATGGGTAAAAAAATTGGTTAGTCTTTGCATATAAGTCATTATTACATTGCAGGATTTTCAAAATTCAAGGCTGTAAGGCCAGGAGCTGTTCCGACGGTGAAAAGCAATGAAGCCTCGACATCAGATGCATCGCAGCGTAGCCGAGAAGCGTATTAACGAGAAGCAACAAAAAATTGTCACGGGCTTACTCAAGAATTAAGAAGAGAATATATATGCGTAAGAGTTTCTGCTACGACAAATCGTCAGACACGACATATGCTCTACAATACGAGGTATGTTCGTGCATTATGTTAATATCGCGTTATAAGTATTTGAAAAGTATTTATTTAATTTTTAGGTTTGATCGTTAAGTGGAACCAACCCTTGTTTTATGAATTCGATTGTCGAATGACCGCTCAGATTTTGTTCCACATAATAGAAACACTGCAATCGTCTGGGTACCATGTAGCCGCTGTTAGCGATCTTGGCGGGCGAATAGGAAACTGTTTAATGACTTGCATGTCGACGAAAAAAATCCATGGTGAGCACATGTTAATAGTTTAAGAATAGAATACTAATCTGGGCTTATTTTTGTACTTGAAATTCATTTGTTTTTTTCAGGTTTCTTTACGATGCGTATCCTATTTTTGTTTCTGCGGATGCACCGCATCTTATCAAATTGCTGCGCAACCATTATTTGGACCATGGCTTTATAAGTAACAATAAACCGGTGGAAATGCAAATTATTGCGGAACTATTACCTTGCACTGCGTCAAAGTTATCTATTACCACGTTTATACGTAAGCCATTTGCAAATAAAAATAATTTGCAAATACCTAACTCACTGCTTATTCGACGCTGAAAAATTCTTATTTATTATTGCCTGATTATAAAAAGGCAATAATATTACCATTGAAAAAGAAAATAAAGTTAAAAATGGCAACGTCTTGATTATAAAAAAAAAATAAGATGACCATCGAAAAAGAAAATAAACCTATGAATGGCGGCGTCTTGCGCTTATTTGCAAATAGTACCACTAATCAATACTTATTTGCGTGATTTATATATTTGCAAATAAAAAATTAACTCAGCGTTTATACGGAAAAGTTTACCATTTTGCAAATTGTTATTTGCAAATAATACGTGCGTATGAACGTAGTATATACTCATAAAATAAATAGTAGTTACCTTAATGTTGTTCAAGCCCAACGGCAGAAAGTGAAAATAGCAACGAAACTGTTCTCGCATTCCAAAGCTCAAGTCATAACTCGTGCTGCAAGTTTGGGTCATTTAAGTGGACTACTTTCAAAACCTTTTTATATTTTATTTCTCTTATAATAATTTAATTATATCTTCTTTAGTCAAACGACTGGTTTGACGTTATGAACGTCAGAGTACCATATCCCGACTCAAGGACAAGGATGTCATGATACGAAACTCTTTTTCTCTTGGGAGCGCTGTGAAAAGGTTAATTTTTATAACATCCCCCAATATTGCCATAGCAGCGAAAATCATGTTGGGAGATTTATTGAGCAAATTTTTGTGAATTTGTTTATTTAACCAAACAAGCAAATATTTTAGACTTTTAGTATCTTCTTAATTATTTAGTGTTAAAAATTGACATATAAAATGTTTTTTCTTGCAAATACTGTTTTAAGCATAATTTTTTTATGTGTTTGCAAAAAATCCATTAGAATTAAATCGGTGTATCTTGTGCGTATCTAGTGGCAGCTCGCTATTTTGCTTGTCAGATGTTCAGTCCAACTTTACTTGACAGTGCTGCCAAGTGAGAAAACGAGTTTAAGTTAGATTCTCGTAAGCAAGATGAGAGAGTTTCTTATCATGTCATCCTTGTCAAGGAAGCGTATGCATGCTTTAGCTGACGCCAGATAAAACTTTTGCTGCGCTTTACGTGACAGATTCGCTTTGGCAGATAAGATGAATTGTATAAAAATGCACAAAGCATGCCACATAGATCGTTGAAGCTGCAGCTCGAAGCGAAAAGATGGCCAACTCGCGGTTTAATATTTATTTTGTTTCGTCCAAATTCGAGTTTTCATGTAGAAACATAAAACTTAGTCACATAGCTGATATTTTTAAAGCAAAATATATAAAATCCACAGCAATTTTGACGAGTAAAATAGCAGTACAAAATTGTTTCATTGGCGTTCATTGTAGCATACCTTTTGCGTCTGGCGCTTTGCTAGCAAAGTTATAAATGTCACGCAAAGCTACAAAGTTTTATCTGGCATCAGCTTTATGGTCTTGCTCTCGACGTCCAAGATGGCATCTTGGATGGTATGTCTAAAATGGTGATTAAATGCGAATTATTGGAAAACAAAATTTGTTATATCATGTTCGGGCCGACATCGAAAACATGTTTTCGTTGCTAGAACTGGTTTTCGACCTAAAACTTGTGTCCATGTAAAATCTGTCAAACGAAAACCAGTTTTCGCTGAAAACTACTTGAAAACTTACGTTCCACTCATTCCAATCGGTGTCTTCACTGGTATTTTAGATATATTTATCGAAGTGGAAGTCATATTTTATCATCTTGAATACGATAGATAGGACTTATTGTCAATTGGATGTAGAGTGTCCAGATTTGGTGAGTTCGCGCCAATTTGGCGATTTTCTTTGGATATTTGCGGGTAAAAATATAGGAAATCTCCTTTGAATATTTTCTTATTTTTTGTTGCTATACTTATGATTCCTTCACAAATACATATAAAACTGTTATAGTTGTTAAGTTTCATTGAAACTGTATCTCTAAAATCTGTGTGATAACTTTAGGTTTACAAAATCTTTTAATCTGAATAAATAAATTAATATAAATATAGAAAATCGCCCCTGGCGATTTTTGGCGATTTTTCCCCTTCAAATAAATTTTTTCCAATTACAAAGTTTTCCACGATAATTTTACAGAAGAGGCTAAAGAACTGCGTGATAAACTTGACTTAAGAAGCATATTAAAAGACTGTAAAAAATGTTTAATCACCCTAATCGAAGGACTTTTAAAACGATTATCTAGTCAATTAAAACTTATAAAAAAGCTTTGCTTTTGTCACCAGGAAAGTATGTGAATCACAAGAGGGCGAGTTTCAGGGACCTGCCAATTAACTATTTGACTTTGAAGGAAGGAAAAGCAGCGGAAACTGAATATTTAAATCTTTTAACTTTCCCATGGAATAACTTTTCTCAGAACCATTCCATCCGATTCTGAAGAATTTTGGGATAATTGCTTACGGAGTGAAAACCGCAACAGGCAATAAAATGTTTCGAAATATAAGTAAATTCATATTAATATCCTTGCCGCACTCCCATGCTTTGTTGAGCGCTTTTTTCCATAATGAATTCAACAAAAACTAAGATTCGAAATAGGATGAGGTCGGAAAGCCTTAATTCAATAGTTCGAATAAAGGGTTATATGAAGGCTAATAGTTGCTGCTGCAAAACGTTTCCAATATCTAACGGTATGTTGTCAAGGGTGAATACCTCTTTATATGACAACAACAACAGAAATGTAAGTCATTCAGACACTATAGGTGAAGAAATTTTGGAAATAGCTGATCTCGCCTTATTAGAGGTTTTTATTTAACTTTTAGCGCCGAGCTCTTAAAAGCGGATTGTGCGATTAATCAATTAATATGAGTTATAATAAATTTAATAATTGCGCAGTCCTATTGCAAAATGTGTTGAAACAAATATTTTTACGAAGTATGTGTACAATAAAGCACGATGTCAAGTTTAAATAGCGGCAAGTCAGCTGCACTTGATAGTAGTTGGTTGAATAAGGAAAATGAACTAGCAACAAGAGTTTACGGGGTGTACATAGTTCAGTGGTTAACGTTTCTGAGTGCACATCGATTACGCAGGTTCTTTCCCTGCTGAAGTCTAGAAAAAAAGAAGTCTGACGAGGAGATGTGGTAATCTCCGAAACAGCTGCATAACTTCTACCGCTTAGAATTTGTTGCTTTTGCAATTTTTCCTAATAAATAATCATGGTACAAAGCTCAATAAAAATATTAATAACATTTAATGGCCTTTTGTTGCAACCAGAAAATGAGAGCGAGCAAGTTGAAGATGACGAACTGGAACACGATGGCTTGGAGTATCTCGCAGGTTACATCTGCCATTAGCTGCACACAAAGATTCCCAACAACAGAGAGGAAGGTAACTTGGGTAAATTACGTTACCGAAAGTGGCTTATCGAAACCCACTCCAGAAATGATGGCGAATATCAGGGCATTGCAGAGAGTTTTCGATGAGGTTAATGAAGACGGTTTATTCATTGCCAGCAGTTATCTGCAAACCCATATTTTAAAAGCGGATAATATTCCATGCGATATAAAAATTAAAAAACTCTTCTTTCGCGCACGTATGTTTTTTAGAATACGCACTTTAAATAAAACAATAGTTGTGTTTAATGAGCTGCTGTAGGTTACACCAGGTTAAGATATCTCACAAAATTGTGTTTCATGAAGATTTTTCTTGCTCTAACTTGCTCTACTTTTTGTTTTATGAACCTGCGCTAAGTGGAACTAGAGCAACTTAGAGCACGATTTACTGCACCAGCTATTTTGATGGAGTAATAGCCCTGCCAGATAGAGCACGTTACGTGCATTCCGACGAAGCATTCAACTGACAAGGCGTACGAAACGCATAGGTACGCCACAATGAAAGCGTTGTCACATGTAAACAAGTCAGCTGTTTTGTACTGGCGGCAAATTTTTCTTTGAATACAAAATAAGTCTATATTTATAGTTGGGCTAATATTTGTGAAGAAGATAAAAAAAATGGAAGTAATTGAAGTTATTTTAATATTGCTCATGTTGCTGGAAGCTAGAGAATGCTTCAACAGGCTTTATGGAGGCCGTAGATGGTGGGTGCGACCTCCCCTACAGAATCGGGACACTCACGAATTTTTCGCCACGAATTTTGGATTCAGGGAGGAATTTAAGAAAAATATAAGGATGGAAAAGCACATTTTTGAAATGCTTCTTAATTTTATTAAGGAAAGGATCACTAGAAACAATTCTAATAGGCCATCCATTTCTCCAGAATGTCGACTTTACTTGACCCTCTGGTAAGTTATTCATATATCATGAATATGTATATTTAAATATTCTAAATTATAGTTATTTGGCTCACGGAGGAAGTAAACAGTTTTATGCTTCTTCCTTTAAAATTGGACTTTCCACAATGAAGGAAATAGTGGCAGAAACGTGCGATGCCTTGTGGGAGATACTTGGGCCAATTTATTTGTCGATTCCTAAGAAGGATGAGTGGAAGCGTATCGCTATCGATTTTAATTCCATGTGGAATTTACCCAATTGTATTGGTGCAATTGATGGCAAGCACATAAACATATTTTGCCCATCAAACTCAGGTTCCCTTTTTTATAATTATAAAGGGAACTATTCAATTGTTCTGCTGGCGGTGTGTGATGCGAATTATACTTTCACTTGCATTGATATTGGAGCTTACGGCTCGCAAAGTGATGGTGGCGTTTTATGGAATTCTGGCTTTGGGAGACAGCTCTATAGTGGAAAACTGGATCTTCCTGAAAACGATGTGCTACCAGACTCTGACATAACTTTTCCCCATTATTTTGTTGGAGATAATGCGTTGCCGTTAAAGCCATTTTTAATGAGGCCGTACCCAGGTTTGTATGAACAATTTAAAAATTAGTATTTTCTAATTAAACTCATTTACTCATTTTAGGAACCAACTTATCTCTGGAGAGGCAAATTTTTAATAAACGTTTATCTCGAGCACGCCGTGTTATAGAAAATGCATTTGGGATTTTGGCTTGTCGATGGAGAATCCTTTTAAATCCCTTACAAATGAGCCCTTTATCTGCCGAGAAAATTGTAAAGGCTACGGTTCTCCTTCACAATTTTCTCAAGATGCACGATGGAAGCTACTGCCCGCCGGAATATGGTGACCAGGAGGACGGCGACTCTATCAGAAGAGGATTGTGGCGGAGTGATATTTCGACCCCCTTGCAAAGAACTAGGCGGATAGGTTCGAACAATGCGTCACAAAATGCGTTTAAGTTAAGAGATGATCTGAAGAGTTACCTTGTATCCCATCCAATTCAAAGGATGGCACAATAAAAAAAAGGTGATTTATATTTTTTATCTAATGTGCGAAAATAGTTAACATATAATGCCTCAACAGAACCAAGATGAGTTTGCCAAGCGGAGACGCAAAACATGATGGCATGCAATAACAAAAACAATACAAATAAAAGATTCAAACAGTATACAAAATTACCGAAAGTTCAACGAATTTTCATTAAAAGTTTAAATTTTTTAATAAAAATGTCTGGTATGCAGTTTCATAGCCCATACAATTTCAGTATAATAATGTGCAAATTTGAAGTGGCTAAAGATTATGAGTGTTGCGCATTTCCTACATGAACAAAATGAAAAAACTAAAAAATCAACGGTAATCTTTAGCTAATTGAAACTTGCACTTTATTATACTAGAATGTAATAGGCTACAAAATTGCATAATTATTTTTTAAAATTCTGATTAACAAGTTCCAAAATTTTGACGATTTTCTTTTTAATTTTTTTAATTATACATTTTGTACAAAGTTTTCAACTTTTATTTATATGGCTTCTGTAGTAAACACAAACAACCAATATCATTTCGAATTTGGTCCAAAATGATATGACCTACACTGTATATGCATATTGTAATTTTGATATGAAAAGAATATGAAATAATAATAATAAATAATGTGAAATAATATGAAAATAAAAACTATAGCCGCACCACATATTGACATCACTCACTGTACACTGTACAGCCACTTTTTTAATTCAGTTTATAACTTCACATTTGGTTTTGTGCTTTCTTATTCAGTTCATAACATAACCTTTCATTATATTACAAAAGCTCATGTACATATACAGTGCCGCGCAAAATTATTGAACTACAACAAAAAACAAAAAAA